GCCAGATTATTGCTCTCTTTTCTTTCAAATTCTCTTCTTCTCTTCTTCTCCTTCTCTCTTCCTTCTCTCTTCCTTCTCTCTTCAAGAAACTACTTTCTTTCATATTTTTTTAATTCAGCAGATTTCTACTCCTTGGATGGTTGATTTTGGTGCCTCTGACCATATGACTAGTGTCTCATTTATTTTCTACTTACTAGCTTTTATCTGGCCAAGATAAGATCACCCTTGTTGATGGCTCTCTTGCTCCTATATCTGGCGAGGGAAACATCAGAGCTTCAGACACCCTCACCTTATCCTTAGCCCTTTGTGTTCCTAAACTAAACGCTGATTTGCTTTTAATTAGTAATTTAACAGAATCTTTGAAGTGTAGTGTGACCTTTTTCCCTTCTTACTATGTTTTTCAGGACATGGACTCTCAGAAGGTGATTGAGAGTGGCCATGAGGCGAATGGGATATACCTACTAGACATGCCTGGACAAAGCCAAGTATCACCTCCAAGAGCAACTTTTGGTTCAAATGTTTCGGAGTCGTTTAGTCATGTTATGTTATGTCATTATCGTTTGGGTCATATTTCTTTTTTTCTCATTGAGTCTTTTGTTTCCAGCTTTGTTTAAAGAAACTAAGTTGTCAAGTCTACATTGTGAGTCATGTGAGTTGTCAAAGCAGTGTAGAAAATCTTATTCTACAAGTAATAAAAGATCTATAGTTCCTTTTCATAATGTTCGCTTTGATGTGTGGGGGTCATTACCATTTACCTTGCATAGGTGGTTATAAAATTTTATCCTGTTTACTGATGATTTGTCTCATTACATCTGGTTTTATCTTATGCATTCCCATGCTGAAGTACCCAAACTTGTAAAATAGTTTCATGAATCTGTGCTTACCCAATTTGATACTCGCATCAAAATATTCCGATCAGATAATTCTAAGGAATCTTTTGAGAAGGATCCGGTTTCATTCTTTGAGAAGTTTGGGGTTATTCATCATGTTGTTGAAGTAGCCAAGAGCATCCTTTTTGCATCCCATGTTCCAATGAGATTTTGTGGGGATGTAGTGATGACAATTACCTACCTTATTAACCGCATGCCTTCTCGAGTCTTGTGGTTCAAATCTCCCTTTGGTGTCCTTTTTTCCTGAGAGTGAATTGTTTCCTATTCCCTTGCGTGTCTTTGGGTGCACAGGTTATGTTCATGTCCCTAACTCTCAGAGACATAAGTTTGAACCCAAGGCCCAAAAGTGCATTTTCTTAGGGTATGCCTCCACACAAAAAGGCTATTGCTATTTTGATCCTATTAGTGGAACTTGCTTTGTCTCCATAGATGTTACCTTTGTAGAGCCAATTCCATTTAATGGTCATTCTTCTAAGGGGAGCATTCCGTTGAACTGTTTTCTTCACCACTTCCTTTGACTCCCGTTGATCATGAAGTTGAGTCGCCTATGGTTCATTCTTTTCTAGTGGTAGAGCCTTCGTTTCCTAGTTATACCATGCCTACTCCTCCTACTAGTCCTCCAGTTTTCATTACTCATCCTATTGTTTAGAGGTGGTACCAGAGACAATGGCTACAACATGATCAAGTTGTTCCCTCATCTACAATTGAACCTCAGACACTCTCAACCCATGAAGAGAGGATAAGTCCTTCATTGCCTATTCTAGAACCTCCCTTTCCAGACTTGGACCTGCCTATTGCTATGAGAAAAGGTAAGAGGAAATGTACAACACATTGTATTTCCAAACACTAGTTTTGCAGCCTCTTATCCCCATCTTATTATTCTTTCTTAGCCTTCATTTCTTCTCAGTCTATACCCAAGTCAATTACAGAGGCCTTGTCTAGGCCAAAATGGAGGGAGGCTATGAGAACTGAAATAGAAGCACTTCATAAAAATCATACCTGGGATATTGTGAATTTGCCTCATGGGAAGAAACCAGTGGGATGTAAATGGGTGTTCACTATCAAGTATCATGTTGATGGCACCATTGAGAGGTACAAGGCTCGGCTAGTAGCCAAGGATTATACTCAAGTATAGGAGTTGATTATATGTAGACTTCATTTTCAATATATATGGAGACTTTCTCACTAGTTGCAAAAATGACCATAGTGAGAGTTCTGTTATCCTTGGCAGTGAGTTATGGCTGGCCCTTATATCAATTTGATGTAAAGAATGTTTTCTTAAATGGAAACTTGACTGAAGAGGTTTATATGTCACTTCCACTAGGTATGTATGGTATGGAAATGCAGGGCAAGGTATGCAAGTATAAGAAATCTCTTTATGGCCTCAACCAATCCCCATGAGCTTGGTTTGATAGATTCATAGCTGCACTTATTGCGTTTGGCTATACATAGACATAATCTGACCATGCCTTGTTTGTGAAAAAGAGAGGCACTCATGTTACCTTCCTCATTGTTTATGTTGATGATATTATCGTTACAGGGATTGATACAGAGGAAGTTCAGGCACTCAAACATTCCTTAACTCATAATTTGAAATTAAGGATTTAGGGGAATTGAGATATTTCCTGGGAATCAAAGTTGCTAGGTCTAAAGATGGCATCTTCATCTCCCCACGAAAGTATGTGTTCTTGTCACGGAGACTGGGAAACTTGGTGCCAAACCTGTTTTTACACCTATTGATGCTAATCATAAACTCTTAGTTGATGATGGTGATCTTTTGGCAGATAGGGGAGCGTTTTAGAAGCTTTTGGGGAAGTAGCATGACATGATCAGATATATAATATGTTGTTAATGTGATCAGTCAATTTATGCATGCTCCTAAAGACACACATATGGCTGCTATAGAACAAGTTCTATGTTACTTGAAGGGAACTCCAAGAAAGGGTATCATTTTCTCTAGGCATGGACACATGAAGCTAAAGGCTTACACAGAAGGCGATTGGGCTAGTAGTATTGATGATAGGAAATCTACATTGGGTTACTGTGCCTTAGTTGCAGGGAACATTGTCTCCTAGAAGAGTAGGAAATAGTTAGTAGTAGCCAAGTCTTTGGCCGGGATCAGGTCACTTCTAGAGGAGATGGGTATTACACATGATAAGCCCTTAATGCTTTATTGTGATAATCAAGCTACGATCACCATAGCTCACAACCCAGTTCAGCGTGATAGGACAAAACATATCGAAATTTATAGATATTTTATAGGAGAAAGGGTAGTTCCAAAGAAGTTTGCCTTCCTTTTATTGCCTCAAAGCAATAGTTAGCAGACGTTCTAACCAAGGGTGTCCCCAAGGCAATGATTGATATCTATGCTCAGCTTGAGGGGGAGTGTAGAGATAATGGGCCGAATGGGCCTCAGTTTGTTTGTTTTTCTTTAAGTTATGTTTATGACTTGTGTTAGTAGGTAGTGGGCCTTACTTATGGGCCTATTTTCTCTTTTTTTATTGTTTTTATTGTTGTCTATAGTGATGGACGCCCTAAGGGCACTCRTGTAATTGTCCTTATTTTTTACAATGAAAGAATAAAAGAGATAATTGGAAGCTGAAAAGAGGTTTGGAACTACTCTCTCTTCTTCTTCCTTTTCTTCCATCTTCCTCCATCACTTCTCCCTCTTCGACCTCCTTTTCTCCTGTTTCTTTTCTTTTAATTCAGATTATTGCAGGTGTGATTTACAACTACATTGTTTTACTTTTTTTAAGAAATATTTTTTGGGAACAAAAGAGGGGCTCCATCCTCTTATTTTTCTCTCTTTTTAGCTGCATTCCCCCTTTTTTGTTGGCATGAAACAGGTTATTAAATATTGAAATTAATATATTTAAATGTTACTTATTTAAATGATTTTGTTGCTAATTAGTATACAGGTACGTTGGCTAGTACAAAAAACTAATAAAGTAGCTTAGGAGGGGTAGGGATCTTTAGATTTTATACTTTCAGATTCCATCGCGTAGGCATCAGCTAGACGCCTAGATGCCTAGGCACCTTGTGGTCACATGGGCTCACCTAGGTGCCTTGACAACTATGGGATGTACGCCTCTGGTACGCATCATGCAAAAGGTGTTTGAGGTGTACACCTCCCACACCTTTTAAAACATTAGTAGGAATAAGAAGAAAAGCACCAACATCCTCAATTTTATTTACTTTTAAGTTGCATAGGGCTGGCCACATGCTTGGCATTTCTTAAATGAGCTACCTTGATCAACTCCAAGGCATACTTCATTACTTCCTCTGGTTAACAACATATCCATGGGAAGGTTGGACCTCCAACCCAAAAAAGCATGTCAGAGGCCCCAAATGTTTGATAATATTAAAGGTGTTGTTTAACAACTATTGTAAATTTCTAATACTATCTGCATCATCTCTAGTAATCAAAATGTCATCTGTATATACTAGAAGACACATTAATCCACAAGAGACATGACAAGTGAACAAGGAAAAATCATAAATGTTCTACGAAATCCCACACTGGTAATTGCACCATTCAAATCATGCTCTTGGAGCTTGTTTAAGTCCACAAGACCTTTTAATTTTACAAACCAATTACTAGCCCTGTTTTTGACATGCATCTCAGCCTCTGAAATATGGTCCATTACAAATCATAACTAAAGCAAGAACATAAACTGTAATCATTTATCCATGGGAGAAAATTCCTCGTCATAGTCTACCCCATATTCTTGTTTATAACTTTGAGCTACTAGAGAAGCTTTATACTGATCAACACTTGCATACAATTTTGCCTTCACAGAGAAAATTTTACAACCAATAGGAGATGCATTGGATAAAGGCAGAACCAGATCCCATGTATAATTCTTAGTTATATGAAAACATATAGATTGTCATACAAATTCATAATATAGAAGTTGTACCAGAAGGAATAAATGAAGTTATATGAAAACATGATTTTCAACTCATTTAAAGAATTCATACCGGTTCACTGCGGCCATCTATAGACCTTGTTAAAATATTTGATGTTCCATCATCCAACAAGATTCTCACTTGAACAGTAGCTGCAGAAGCTGCACTAGCAACAGCTGCTGCTGCTTGTGCTGCAGCAGCAGCAGCTTCTTTCGCTTTCTTTGATGAACCACCTTTAGGCATTACTGGCATTCTAGGAGGTAAAGCAGATTCTACCAAAGAAAATCTATCACGGCATGCATCCCAAGCAAAAAGCCTTCCAGACCCTGAATCAACAACTGACCAATCACTAACCTTGTATACAGAAAAATAAGGGATATCAGGCCACACAATTGCAAGGTACCTGCAACCAAATTACCACAATAAGGACCAAAAATTAGAAACAATCAACCCTTCTCTCTTTTCTTTTTTTATTGAAACAGGTAGTGTAGAATTTGATAATCATATAGAAAAAAAATTGTTATACTAGGCCAGGACCCATGTTAGCCAAGGCAACATACAATGGGAAACTACAAAACTACTAGTATATGACAAGAATTACAATTCACGAGAAGGCTATCATACTCAGAGATAGATGGAGAGAGAGAGAGTTATAATGTATTCCTTTAGAAGCATGATGAACCAACAGCCAATTGCCTAAGCTCTGCAGACTATTTTCAAAGGGATACATGCATTTTTCACCTTCCAAATGCTCCAAAAAATACCAATGTATGATTTCCCATATGACCTTTCCTTTTTTGCTCAAACCTCTTAGTTGAATGCTACAAAAGAAAGCTTCAATTCTGGATGGTAAGCATTCCCTAACTCCAAAAAGTTCCTAGGAATCTCACCATGGTTGATTTTAACAAATTCCAAGGGTGAATTGATTCATCTCAATAATGCAAGAGAGAGTAGATGGACTGAGGACCCTAAAGGTAAATTCTTTCTCTTGAAACAGAATATCGGAAAACCACATACCACTAAGTGTGGAGAATTGCACTTGGCTGGTGACATCAGAGAAGTTAACTCAAGATCAACTTAAATAACAGTTTATCCCTGGTGGCATCAGGGATAACAACTCTAAATTCTTTCACATCTATGCTTCTGGAAGGCAGAAAAGAAATTTTATCTCTAAAATAAAAGTTGGGCAAAGAGAAATTTTCTGAAGCATTTCTAAGCTTTTTCTAGAACCTCTACTCCAAGGAAGAAAGTAGGAAACCCTTCCTAAGCTCTTGGGAAGGTTTTAAGCTCTCAGAGGAGAATAGAATTTGGCTCAAAAGAGAGTTTGAGGAACTTGAAGTGAAGGAAGCAGTTTTTGCATGGATGGAGACAGAGCCCCAGGACCCGATGGTTCATTATTTTCTATCAGACTTCCTGGAGTATCATCAGTTTGGATCTTTTGGAGGTTTTCAACTTAGTTTTCAAGGCAGCAAGGTGAGGCTAGGTGACAGGGGGACACCATGTCGCCTAGGCAATGGATTTTTTTAAGTAAAAAACACATATCCTAGGGTAGTTCCCTGTTCCCTAGGTTCCATAACCATCTTTCCTTGATAACTATCCATAATCTTCATAAGAAAATTATAAGCTTCATACCTAAGTCTAGAAAATCAACATATTTATAGAAGAAAAGAAGAAAGAAAAGAAAATTCAAAAAATATAGGGGTTGAACCACTATTTTTGTTATAGGAAAAAAAGAAGAAGAAATGTGTTGATTAGACAAAATTTTAAGTTCTTCCCTTACTTATTGGTTCAGATTTTGAAGTCTTTGAGGGTTCAATACAGCAGGTAGCAATGCTTGTGTTGATTAAACCCTAACAAATAAGAAAATAATAAAAGAAATTAGTTTATAAACACAAAAAATAAATATTTTTGTTTAATAATGTCTATTGTACAATTATAATCTCAAAAAAAACAATACAAAAGTATTTTATAACAGTATACAAAGCTGCTTGGGGACTGGGCGAGGCGAGCCTCCAAGGGCGCCTTGTCACCTAGGCATCGCCTGGACAACTTCGGCCATCGTAAACAAGGTAAATAACTCTAATTCTATCTGCCTAATTCCCAAGAAAGAGGGCATTCTAGAGGTGAAAGGGTTCAGACCAATCAGCTTGGCTGGAGATGTATAAGATTATAGCAAAGTTCCTGGCGGGGAGATTGAAGAAGGTCTTAGGAGAGATCATTTCTCCAAATCAATTTGCCTTTGTAAAGGGGCAGCAAATTGTTGACAGCATTCTAATAGAAAATGAATGCATAGAAGAGAGAAGACTTGATGGAAAGCCAGGTGTGATTGCCAAGCTTGCTTTGGAGAAGGCTTATGACGAAGTTGATTGGGAGTGTTTGTTGAAGATTATGAGGCTAATGGGATTTGGTAGAAGATGGATACAGTGGGTTGAGGCTAACTTTTTGGGTGACTGAAATTTCCAGACAACTTGTGAAGAAGGCTAACTCTTTGGGTCTGGTGATGTTATGGGCCCGGGCGTAGGATCTCGTCACGGGTCGGTCCACGGGGAGAACCTCTAGCTTCCCCTTGCCCCTCCCTTTGTGTGTAGACCCTATTGTGGTGACCTAAGGGGTGATTTGTCCAAGAGATCACCCTAACTCTCCTCAACTCTTCTCTTGACTGAAATTCTTGGATGTCTTTATTCAATAATAGTTGCTCCTTAAATAGGAGATTACAAGAGTCCTGCTCTTAGGGAGACTCCTTGCTGAATAGGGAGACCTCCAACTCTATCTTGATAAGATAAGACTGATAAGATAAGATAAGTCTCTCTTAATCCTAATCAAATAAGATAAGATAATCTCTCTTAATCCTAATCTAATAAGATAAATCTCTCTTAATCCTAATCTAATAAGATAAGATAATCTAATCTACTAATCTAATAAGATAAGATAAGAATAACAAGATAGTCTAATCTAATCTGCTGAATGGATAAGACTGTTGCTGCCGAATTGGATAGGATGAGAACACCGGATCATTGCTGCTGCTGCTCCCAATACGTGTCCACATCAGGTGAGAGGCTTTGAAGTTGGTAGAGAAGCTATTCAGATTTCACACCTTCAATTTGCTGATGACATTATGGCTAATGAGGTCAATATATCAAATCTGAAAAGGGTCATAACCTGTTTTGAATGGGTCTCTGGACTTCGAGTCTCTTTTCACAGAGTAGCATAGTAGGTTTGAGTATAGCAGATGATCTTTCTCTGAACAGTTTTAAGGAGACTTTGGGGTGCAAAGTGGAGAATCTTCCCATCTCTTACATGGGATGCCCTCTTGGAGGAAATCCAAAGAGTCAAAGTTTCTGGGACCCAGTACTGGAAAAATGTGAGAAGAAACTTTTCACTTTGAAAAGGAACTACCTTTCCAAAGGGGAGAGACTTGCTCTTATTAAATCTTCTTTGGTTAATCAGCCTATTTATTTTCTTTCTAATTTTTGCATGCCCACCAAAATCACTAATCAGCTTGAAAAGCTTCAGCAAAATTTCTTTGAGATAGGGGTGGGGAAAAGCGAGCTCACCTTGTGAGCTGGAATCAGGTGTGCAAACCCAAGGAGGGTGGTGGTCTGGGAATTGGTCACCTAAAAGAAAGAAATACAGTCCTTCTTACTAAATGGCGTTGGAGATTCCCACTGGAACAAAGTGCTCTTTCAACCGCTGTTATCACAAGTACAGGAAGCACGCCAATGGTTGGGATAGCAATTTTCACTTGAACAGGGTCAAAGACACCAACCCTTGGAAAGGTATCCTCTCCACTTATAACTTTTTCATCTCTTTCATTAGATACAAAGTGGGAAATGGGGATAGAATAAAGTTTTGGACCAACCTATGGTGGGGTGACTCTAGTTTCGACAACAACCTTTTTGTACTTTTTTTCATTTTATGCATATCTCTTTTTCATTTTCAGACCCTCTTGTCAGTAAAATGCATCATTTGTCCAGTCTCCCTTGTAACTTATTTAACATAAATTAACAAAGTTGCATTTAACTATCAAAAATGGTGCACTATCAACAATGAGAATTTACATTTTGCAATCACAACTTACTTTCCCGAACTGCTCACAGAAAGAACAGAATACGAATCATGTGGAACAGGTGTGCTAATGTGCTTCTTAATCTGCTTCACATGCAATGGTTCCAATGACTCTGCCCTGGACCTTCCTGTTTCAGATAAGGTACTTGTACTTCCAAGAGATGGATTTGCTGTGTTAGATAACTGAAAGCTTAGTAACTTCAATTCTCTTTCAACAACATATACAGCAGAGTGTTCTCTGCTGCCTGGTGGTGTTGGTAAAGGAGCAACAGCTGGAAGAGATCTTGCATCAAACTCACTGAGAATAACACCAATATTGGTTCCAGTAGCAACAAGGTGTGGTTGTAAAGGATGTGCAACCATGCAGTAAACCTAACACAGAAACTTAAAAACAGTGGATAAAGCAACAAACTAAATAACTTGCATGATCAGTAATTAGTAAGGATCCCAATAAAGAAAAACAAAAGGCATACCCTAAGTTTCTTGTTTGGTGCAAGTACTAGTGGAGGAACAAGCGAAGAAAGTTCACACAATGGCCTCGTAAGAGCTGAATAAGTTGGATGTTCAATTGCCCTGCCAAATATCAAGGCAAGAGATGATCTCAGAATCAATCAAGAAGAAATGGCATTTCTTAAAAATGAAGTGCCTTACTTTTGAGAGATGATACACTATTCAGGTACATAAAATCTACTGTCATGGGTAAAAATAGATAAATACATACCAAATATGAGAATCCTTAACACAAGTTAAGATGTCAAGATTAGGAGCTCGAGGGTGGCACCAAGATGCCACACTATGGCAAGCCAGTTTCGGAACAGGTTTAATACGCCTCAATTCCTGAATATAGCATGTAAGGAAAATGTCAAAGCATCACTAACCCTTCCAATAATAATAAATTCTATTCAAACAAAATAAGAGCAAAATTCTGGGCAGGCAGTGTGATACCTTAAAAGAGATAGTATCCCAGATGGCTAATGTCTTATCTGAACCAATGGTTATCAATTGCGGTGCACCTCCCATCACCCTAGAAAGCTCAACAGCCACAACCCCACCATCATGTGCCTTGAAGCATCACCAAGAAGACAAGTAAGATGACAAAATATTACCAAACCAGGGAATCTGAATCAACTGCATTTGAAGATTACTCCCTAACAAGATTGGAATGAATAAAGTGTCCACTTTAATCATAAGGCATGAGCTCAAGCAAAAAAAGAAAAACAAAATAAAAGATTAAATATGAAATATCAAAAATAATGAACTGCCTAATTGGTAACTTTTAAAATTTTCTTATTACCATGATGAAGAGAACTTGAGCAAATGACAAAATCCTAATGACCACTGAAGAATAAAACATAGTTCTCACAAGATACATTGAAAAATAGAAACCTTAAGCAGTTGTGCCATATCTATTAGTAGGATGTGAAAGAAGAATAACTACCTTCAAACTCAACTTTGGAACAAGTTCCCGTGAATCTTGACCATGATCAGCACTCCATAGTATAAGCAGACCGTCACTACCACCAGACACCAGAAGCGCCTAAAATTGCAGTTGAATGCCAAAAAGGGTAAGCTTCAATATAAAAATCAATCCAACAAGAACTTAAAGCATAGGAGAGGACATGAATTAATTCCATCATGAATAACCAACCAGTGATTTAAAAGGCGCGCCTAGGCACACAGGCGAGGTGCAGGAGAGGACATGAATTAATTCCATCATGAATAACCAACCAGTGATTTAAAAGGCGCGCCTAGGCACACAGGCAAGGCGCATTTCAAGGTATGCACCTCGCCTAGGTCCTAGGTGCAGCCTTTCAAAAGGTGCATGCCTGGTGCCCCTGATGCGCCTTGTGCCTCAGCCCAGGCGTGCGCCTTTTGAAAATTTGGCGCTTTTTCGCTTTTTTTTTTTGAACATAACGGCTGGGCCGGGGCCTCTGCCCCCGGACCTCCGTGCCACCGCCCCTCGAGGCAAGCCCAAACAAGTCCACATTAGGTCTTAAATTCCTAGTTTTCACACAAAAAATAATGATTTTATAGTTTTAATTGCTTTTTAAGAAGAATGTAATATGTTTTACATTACATTAGCTATGTGAAGTACTGCAATTAAGTGAAAAAGATATTAGAGGTTTTACATGCTTGAAAATGTTTTATATGTTTGATTTTATTTTTAAATTCTCATTTGAATATACTTTACATCTTATGTTTATGTATTTTAATTTTAGATAATAGGTTTTTTAAAACATTATTTTAAATTTTAACTTTATATTTTTTTAGTAATATTATGTTTAATATTTTTTTTTGAATTTTTTGGCTTTTTTTTTAATTTTCTGACTTTTTTGTTGTATTTTTGCGCCTTGCTTCAAAAAGGCGTGCACCTCGCCTTGCGCCTCAGGTGCAAATTGACCCCTGCGCCTTTTTTGCGCTTTGTGCTTTTAAAACATTGTAACCAACAAAACCAGTTTAGTCCAAACAAGAACAAAACGAATCATCCAAGAAGAGAAAGAGTTAGTTCTGTTTAATAAATAGATTTTATTAGAAACACAATAGTACCCACAAAGAGGGAGCCCACCGAGGACAACCAAGAGAAAAAAAAAAAAAAAAAGACAACAACCGAAGCAAGGGAACGGCCTATGAAGGAACAAAATTGCATAGGAAATCTCCATCTCCAAACAAAATATGTTAAGAACAGTAACAAAGTTCCATCATCTTTATGTTTTTCATCTGATCCTTCTCATTGAACTGTAACCAAGTTTATATAAAGTAGTTTGTCTAACAAAGGAGAATGAACATGGTCAATAATATCCATAGATGCTGTTGAAATAATTTAGTTATTTGTGTTAGGGTCTGTTTGGCTAGTAAAAGACTTTTTTTATTTTCTATTATTGTACTCACTTACAGCAGGGGCGCAATAGTCTTTTTCCTTCTTATTTCTGCCGCCCTATACAATATAATAGAAGCTGGCGCCGCCAGTACTGTTCCATTGCTCCAAACCTTTTCTTCTTCCTTTCTTTCTTCTTCTCTTCTCTTTTCTTCCCGTCTCTTCTCTACTTCCTCATATTTCAATCGGATTTATTGCCAAGATGGTATCAGAGCAAGGCTGTTGAATCTAGGCGACCAAGTTTTCTCTTCAAGTTGGTTAATCTGGGCGGAACAGAGGATTGAATCTGGGCTGATCAAATCAGAACTGCAACTGGTACAACCCTAAAGTTTTCTTTCTTCTTTTATTTCTTTCCTTGGTCGTGTACCAAGTGGAGAACAAATGAATCCAAACCACTGAATGTTGACAGACTTTTGTGAGGGTTATACCTCTTTTATTTGTTGGATCGTGTGATCTTGTACCTGTGAAAAGGTGATTGTAGGTCACAGATGACCTGTTT